TGTAAGGGGGGGCGGATGTCAACGCTACTAATATTGGATATTATTGCTTTCACAAGATATGCAGAACTGTCTTGTATTTTTAGAGTTAACTTAGATGATACTTGGGAGGGAGGAGAAAGAATGTGTGAGGAGAGTAATTGCGCAGGCTACACAATGGAAGTGAACCTTTGACCCCCAGGCTGATTGGAGAATGTGATTTATGACTGCAAAATAGAGGAGGAGAATAGGCTGGAATGTTATGTGCAAAGGAGGAGAATTCAGATCTTGGCATCCATCCATGCCGTGCTGACACTCTGTTACACAAAATAAAGACTTTTTAGGATAAACAATGCCTGGAAGTTCTTTGAAGTGTTTCATTAGTCAGAACCATGACAGACTATGGAATGCCAAGCCGCATTCGAAAATTTGAAAAGACTTTTTTCTGTTGAGCTGGTACTGAGGCATCCAGACTCAGAGAGACCATTTGTCATTCAGGCCAATGCTAGCAATGTGGCCGTAGGTGTTGTACTGCTCTAGGAAAACAAAAAGGGCCAACTGCAGCCTTATGCATACACTTCAAAAAAGTTGACAGAGACCAAACAACACTGGGCGGTCTGGGAAAAGGAAGCCTATGCAGTAAGGTGGGCCTCCTCATTTTCTAGAAGGGAGTAAAATCTCTTTCCAAGTTTGGACTGATCACAAAAACCTAGAAGCATTGAAAACCCCAAGGAAGCTGTCTACCAAGGCAGCACTGTGGGTCCAACACTTTCAGCATTTCAATTTTACCTTCTGCTGTTTACCAGGAGGAAAAAATTTCCTGGCGGACACCCTATCTAGGCTGCTGCAATATAACAGTGTAAAAGCCAAAATAATCAAACATCTGCTCCCAGTGCAGCAATTAGCAGCCCCAGTAATCAAGAGGGCACAATTGAAAGGCATCCCACCACCAGACAACACTGTCACCTTGGTCTTTAAATAAGTCCTGGAAAAGGACGAATAGTTTCTTAGTCATAAAAACCTCTGCTCCATGTGGGAGGGGCTAGCATGGGTAGGAGGGGAGCTGTACATTCTGGCCAGCCAGAGACTAAAGACTATGCAAACATGCCATGACTCAAAGGTGGCGGGACATTTCAGGTGTGTAAAGACCCTACACCAGTTAAAAAGACAATTTTGGTGGCCTATCAAAAAGGACATTGAGGGTTATGTGGCTAGCTGCCCTACATGTGTAGCAGCAAAACGGATACAGGGGGAAATGCTTGGCCTTTCAGCACCCTAGCATCCCAAAATGAATGGGTTCACAAGAAACATGTTCGATCCCCTAGGTTACTCAAGCGTTTTCATGCACGTTACCTGGATAAGCCTGATTAATCAATGGATTTTCTTTCTCCACTTTATTATTTTCTGTTCTTCCAGGTGGATTTCTCTTTCTTTTAAGGGGAGCGGTAGATCAGGCCCCTCAGATCAATATCGGCATGCTGTCATTCTGTTGGGAGGGGGGAATCTTTATTCTGTTGGGAGGGAGGAATCTTTGGGTTCTGGGATGTGTTTGTTTTACTTTGTTCTTCTGCACTTTGACGTATGCCTTTGGGTGTGAAAGGGGGGAGGAATGTGCCTGGGGCCATCTGCCTTATCTCTACTCTGGTGAGAAGAGGATGCAATGCCTGGGAATAGCGCTTTATCATTCTTTCAACTTCCAGTTCCCATAATAACTTTGCACCTGTGGATTGGCTGGAAATGGACTGGGCAGTTGGGCACTTGGGTTTTTAAGAGAGGGGTTTAATGTAATGTTTTTGTGTGGGAAATATGCAGATCTTGCCTTGCCTTTCTGCTTTCACTATCTCTCAATAGAAGTTCCTTTTGAAATAATGCCAGTTTTGAAGAGTTCTGCTTTCTTGGGAGAACTAGCTGAGGCAGGACCTTACACCTCCTTTTCAATTTACGTGGAGCTTCCACTTCAGAAGCCATGCTAAACCCATGCCTGGTGCCACAATGAAGATTAGGGTCTTTATGGGCCCCACTTCTCATCTCTATTGGTTCAGTGACAAATGTCGTGAGGGGACAACTGGCAGAAGGTCACTGGCACCTCAAGCTCTCAGTCACAGACCAGACTTCTCAACTAAACTAGGGCTGACCAGGTATTTGGAATGGCCTGAGTCCAAGAGGGCAACCAGTTTTCCCTTATGCCCCGAGGAGGTCACCACCAGTTCTATGGGGACGGTCATGGGTGTCATGGGGCAATTTACCAATGGATTGTTATTATTTTTATTTATTATTTTATTTATTAAATTTTTACCCCGCCCTTCTCCTTGCGGACTCAGGGCGGCTAACAGCCTAATAAAAACAAATACAAAAGTACAAAAATACTACCATTAAAACGTAATTAAAAGGAAATATTAATTTGGCCTTTGTTATTTTAAAAATTGTTTTAAAACCCAACTAAAAAACCCCTTAGGCCAGTCCTGCCAGCTTAAATAGCCATGTCTT